GGCGGCACGGCCGTAGCTACTAGCGCATGGGGGGCTGGAAGCAGGTACGGTACATACCTCCGACCAGGAAACCTTAGCGGGTTGGGATACTATTAGTGAGCCCTAATGGAAAGGTGTGTTGTTAGCGCAAGTCAACGTCGTGTGGCTAAAGTGTACACACTCTACAGAGTCTAAAACTAATCGATTAGCCGTGCCCACGGTCAAGGACGGACAAAGTGTCTGGTTGGGTATTCTACCTGTCTTCTCTCCCCTTCCGGAATCTGGATTAAAGGTTGACATCTGGTCAGCTATGCCGCCGAGTTTGAAGGACTCCGCCGCTTATCTCCGTTGTCGTTGCAGACGTCATCGGAAAAACCCCAATTACTTAGTAATTAGAATTACTTGGTTTAAAAATTGCTTTTGGGAATTCAACTAAAATATTGCTAGACTTGGCGCAGTTTTTGCAAAATGAGACAAGCCTCCACCAGAAAGCCTTGCATGTAGAGTTAAAATTGTTTAGGTTTGCATTGGGTGGCTGTTGAGTACCATAAAAGTACTCATTGTGGATGTTGTTTATGTTGATGATCACTACAGAGGGGAACAACTACGACAGTGAGTACTACGATTGAAGAATAGAGACGACGTTGCTGGTTTTCTTCGACTTTGGCCTGTGGAGTTTTCAACGGCGCCACCACTATCTTAGATCTAAATCGAGCAGGTTTCCATGAAGAAGATCTTGTTCAGCATCATTTATGTAACGGGCATATGACCCGAATGATGTAAACTTTCAATTATTTTATCAATGGACGTGTGTTACTCTTATTACCCACCGTGTTATCTGCAACTGATCCTTGGGACAGATAATGATTTACTGTGTGACTCCTGGACCCCACGGCCAGTATCTCATAGTTTTCATCACGCTCATATGATTCGCGTTCGTTACTTTGATAATTTGATATGTGGGTGGACCGGTGCTTGGGTGCTACTCTTACTTGGACAAGCCTCCCACTTATGATTAACCCCTCTCGCAAGCATCTGCAACTACGAAACAAGAATTAAGATAAATCTAACCATAGCATGAAACATGTGGATCCAAATCAGCCCCTTGCGAAGCAACACATAAACTAGGGTTTAAGCTTCTGTCACTCTAGCAACCCATCATCTACTTATTACTTCCCAATGCCTTCCACTAGGCCCAAATCATGGTGAAGTATCTTGTAGTCAATGTTCACATAACACCACTAGAGGAAAGACAACATACATCTCATCAAAATATCGAACGAATATCAAATTCACATGATTACTTAAAACAAGACTTCTCCCATGTCCTCGAAAACAAACATAACTACTCACAAAGCATATTCATGTTCAAGATTAGAGGGGTATTGAATATCATTAAGGATCTGAACATACGGTCTTCCACCAAATAAACCAACTAGCATCAACTACAAGGAGTAATCAACACTACTAGCAACCCACAGGTACCAATCTGAGGTTTTGAGACAAAGATTGAATACAAGAGATGAACTGGGGTTTGAGAGGAGATCGTGCTGGTGAAGATGGTGATGAAGATTGACCCCCTCTCGATGAGAAGATCATTGGTGATGACGATGGCTTCGATTTCCCCCTCCTGGAGGAAAGTTTCCCCGGCAGAACAGCACCGCCGGAGCGCTAGATTGCTTCTACCCAGGTTCCGCCTCGAGACTGCGGCGTTTCGTCCCGAAATCTCTCTCATGATTTTTCCAGGTCAAAACCTTTCATATAGCAGAAGATGGGTACAGGTGACCTACCAGGGGCCCCACAAGCCCTAGGGGCGCGCCCAAGGCTTGTGGCCATCTAGCGTGTCTCCTCTAGTAGTTTCTTCGCCCAATAATTCTTATATATTACAAAATATTTCTCCGTAAATTTTCAGGACTTTTGGAGTTGTGCAAAATAACTCTCTCAGATTTGCTCCTTTCCCGTCCAGAATTCCAGCTGCCGGCAATCTCCTTCTTCATGTAAATCTTGTAAAATAAGAGAGAAAAGGCAGAAGTATTGTATCATAATGTGTAATAACATCCCATAATGTAATAAATATCGACATAAAAGCATGATGCAAAATGGACGTACCAACTCCCCCAAGTTTAGACCTCGCTTGTCCTCAAGCGAAAGCCGAAATCGATAAATATGACCACATGTTTAGAGATAGAGGTGTCGATAAAAATAAAATACGGACATGAAGACATCATGATCTTCTTTAGAATAACAATTGTCATATGATTTCTCATGCTGAAGTGAAAATTCGTTCACAAGATATAGTATGAAGCAAAGAAATTATTGAAAACTAACAAACTATGATCTCAGTCATTGAAGCAATTGCAATTTATCACAATATCAAAAAGAGTCAATGTAAGAGCTTTTTATCGCAAGCCCACATACTAAACCATCTTTTAGTCTTTCACAATTGCTAACACTCAGGCGATACTTATGAGATCAAAGTTTCAATCGGACACGGAGAAAGATAGGGGCTTAGGGATTGACTATTCGTCAACCTAGGTGAGGAATGATTATTCTTCACCCCATGTATTCACCATCAATGCACCGTAATTTTATGTTCCTTAAGTTTTGTTTTATTTCCGATGTAAAAAGAGACCGTAAGAAAATATATAATAGTTGTAAAAATATATATATTATGTTATGTAAAATTATAAACGTAAAAATATAGTGTAAAATACGTAGTGAATCAATAGGAATGTAAAAAAAAGGGCAACCTGGTGCATGTAGCTCCCGCTTGCGCAGGGTCCAGGGAAGGGTCCGACTACTTTGGGTCTATAGTACGCAGCTTTACCACTGCGCCAAGGCTCCCCTTCGGTGAATCAATAGGAATGTAACTATTTGAATTTTCTTGCTATATGAAAGGTCATAAACTGCAAATTTTCTTGTCTTATGACCTATATTTTTATTTTCTTATGCCAAATTTTACGTAGTGAATCAATAGGAATGTAACTATTTGAATTTGAATTCCAAACATAATTTAATTATGAAATGATCGTAAGATTACTTCGGATGAAGAATAACTTATTATGTACCCTGGGTGATTAATAGAGTAACAATATTCTAAGCGTGAGTGTAGAATAGCTTATTCTACACCCCCTAGTAATGCTATATACAAAATCTAGTGAAACGGTGTATAAAATGTAGTAATTCAAACAAAAATTACTTCTCAAGTTTGTGATTTAGCACATTTTTATGAAAATTACTATATTTTGCATAGTGTGTTACTACATTTTGTATGTATCGTTACTGGGGTGTAGAATAAGCTATTCTACACTCACGCTTAGTTCAGCGTTCTACAAAATATTTTCAATTCATCCACTTCACAAGTTACTACTCGAGCAGCATTTCAATATTGCATTCAGATTTGTAAGTAACTACGTATTATGTGAAATTTGGGTAGCGGAATTTTCTATTTTTATTTTGGGCGTTCATATGTTGACTATGGAACGTTTTCATCTTCCTCCAACTAATCTGATATTACACAATCAAGGCTGATGGTTGTCGAAATCTGTTTTGAACACTGTTTGCATGCAAGATTGAAATCAAGAAACACCATTTATGTAACACCCCCTCTGTTCCATATTAGTTGTCGCATTTAGCACAAGTATGTACTAAATCAGTGACAACTAATATGAAACGGAGGAAGTAGTATTTATGCATTTGGGGGTACCATTTCAGGCTATAATAATTAGTCCGACACAGTTAACATAGATGAAATATTACCTCACTCCCTACGAAATAAAATAAGAAGTATCTCATATTTGTTTGTGATCTCCAGTCGTGCTTTACTTATCATCTCTAGATTATATATTTTGTGTTTTGTTAATTGAATTTTAGTCATGCGAGAAGTTCACTTTCCGCCAAGGCAGTCGATGTGTTCATTTCCGAGGAAATGCACATAGTGCCTGCAGTTCACTCATTCATCAGTCCATGTCTTACATTGGCGTCCCGAAAAACCCAACCTCAATCGCTCAATTGTCATGGTTCCTGGACCGGTCCAACACTGGTTCATGGCAATTGACGTTTTCCCCAAAGCTCGCGGAGGGTGACCTCGACAAGATGAGTTTTCAAGTTTCAAATATTCACTTGTGCTAGCAGAGTTCTATAACATGTATGCCATGCAGCGGCCGAGCTCATCGCCTTGGGTTGACCACATTTGGACGCGTTGTGAACAGGTGATCATCAGGGCATCGCCGAAGAGTAGGGGAAGGAGGATAAGCGGCAATACGGATTAGGCATGGTGTTCAAATAGAGGAATTGACAGGTGAAACGGGGTGGGTCTTCAATCATACTTACTCTGGTTAGGAGCGTGTGATGTTTTTCTTTTCCCATTACAACGCACGGGCACACTTGCTAATGGGGTTTAAGTTGCACAGATGAAGCAGTCCTGTTGTGTTTAGCGTGGAGTTGTATACAGAACGAACATCACGTTGATGCATAACGGGTTGATATGACTAGCTGAGAAATCGTGTCAAGAAGAGTGTGGCTTGGTCAAGTCTCAGTCAAGTGACAAAGTATATAAGGAGAAAAAGAGAACTGAAAAGAATTTTCTTTACGAATCTACATGCAAGCTTAAAAGGAATTCGACTAAGACATAATGAAGTCTCAGTTAGCAAAACTGTTTCAAGCAACTGCCATGGTTCAACAGCAGGCAGCCGTTTTGACCTGAAAAAAAGCTCACTGGGCTATTCAAATAATCTGATAGTGGCCGAAACAAACAATTTGCAAGGTAAAGCTTGCACATTCGGAATCAAGTCTATGGCAGCACCACAGAACACATGTTTTCCTGTTTCCCTTGTTCTTAGATACAAACTCCAAAAAAAGTAAGAATTTATTACATTAACCCGTTGGTCCAATCCAAATTGTTTACTCCTTATTCGTGCGCCCACAACAGAATGGTATGAATAATTTAATACAGATACACGGAGCAAGTCCACGAAGAACTCAATCAAAGTGTGATGCCCCTGTTATCACAAGGTTGCTACTCAACGCCTATCAGAAGCAACCGAGTCAGCAGAAAACAGATATTTCACACGAGAAAGGACCGAGTCACTCGCTGGATCATATGGATGGTCCTTGGATGGAATTTCCAATATCGCAGGGATTGGCTTGTTGTAGCTATCCACCAGAAACCTAATCATGTTTGCAATCTGGGACATACAAGAAACATGTAATAAGAAGCTAACCCTAATAATCCTCTCATAGCATTAGTTCATCTTCATCAACATGTATAAGACACGCATCTGGTTCTGGTTCTGGTAATCTAGTACACAATCCCTCTATTGCTTTTTGACTTTCTAATGTTATGGATAGTAGGATATACCACATGGATGCAACCGTCATTTGCATGGCAGTTGGCACTGTTGAGCATGTAGTATAAATATTGTTTCGTTTGTATTGTAAGAGAGGTTTCTGTTACTTTAGGACTCGTGGTTGGCTATTCAAGATAGGGTTTGGGCCGCCGATCGTTTGGCCAAATGTGAATGGTCAAATTGCGGTCTTTGCGCTCTTTGCAAAAGGGGCATGAATCCGGCGTGCATCTCTTCTTCAAATGCTGCTTCATGCTTCGGCTTTGGAACTTAGTCAATGAGTGGCTTCATCTTGGGACCAATCCTTGTGGCACTTGGAGCGCTCCGCCAAGGAGGAGTGGCGGATCAACCTCTCCGACGTAAAGCCATAAACATCCCTAATAGGAAGGCTGTGGCGTCTCTCACAATGCTTCTGTGTTCGACAGTTTGGAACGAGAGGAACGCCCGTGTTTTCTATCAAAAGAGCGCCCCTCCGCCTATTTTGAGTTTCAACGGCCTCGTCTATTTTGTTTACAGCAGAAGGTGAGTCTAAAGAAACTAATCAGGACTATTTAACCCCAATAACTCATGACCACCCTCTTTCTTTACGTGATATACTTGCAAGATTCTGACAAAACAATTTGCTGATCCTTAAGAGAAAAGAAAGATATGCATTTATAGCAATGGTTTACTTACATATTGGCTGATGAGCACAATAGCAATATCCTCCCTTGCAGTAAACTCTTTAAATGCATCTTCAATCTGTTTCACTGTCGTTTCTGGAAGATAGCACACACACAAAAGTATTTATTCAAGTCATGTGGGTAAGTGTACGAGAACTATGATATAATAGGCAACACAGCAACAACATAACAGACACATCGCGCCGAAAGAAATGATAAGTTGAATTATGTGACAGGAGTAAAAGTGATAGTTGAGGTTGTTTAAATTTGATGGAAGTCCAGGACTGAGCAAACCAGTAGTAAAGAAGTTTCTCTTAACACAATAATGAATAAATCTTTGCCTTTGTCTATAGAAGAAACAGAAAAAGGATAAATATGACATGACAGTAACAACCTTATAAGAAATGCTTAAGAAAATAGAAACTGAGAAGGTTTTTTATCGGGCAATTCTTCAAACATTCTGTTGGCAACCATTCAACAAAATTCCATAGCCAACAGATATAATTTTCTACAGAAATCTTATGTCAACTGTTTAAAAACAATGCTATGTTAACAAGTTCAGGATAGTACTGTTATCTACAAGAAGGTAATTTGTTTTCTTGCGCAGATCAACATTGCCAACCCCAGCCATCAAAAACCCAGTGACAGTGTCCTGCAAGAATAAGAAAGCTCAATGTCAAACAGCGCTTTGCTTGTCAAAACATTGTTCATTCATCATATAACATCTATTTTCGTTGTCGAATCCTGTACACCAAATTGGCATTCACAAGAAGTCAACTTCTCATTTTTCTATCTAAATAAAAAAGCAATCTACTTATTTGGTAACAACAAATACACAACGGATCAATCCTTAGCTGCCAAGTAAATCATCCATGCTTGCGAATCTACATTACCACGCCCCTACGAGCCTGTGTTATTTTCTAGCACCGCCTAACACAGACCGGCTCGCTGACGATTTGCCCGACTCTAGGACAATTGCCGGAGTGGCGGAAAGGCGTATGTAAGTCACCCCCAACACCCAGTTACATAGTTAGCCAACATATGCTCAATTATTAACAGAAGCTCAAGCAACTTTAAGATCAAAAGGGTGGATAGATCACCTCATCGGCGATGATGGCGATGAGGGCGGAGTTGTTCGCCGGGATATTGGACCTCCCCGCCATTACTGGTTCCTGTCAAAAACCTGCCGGCTGCAAGGAATCTACCAAAATAGACCAAAAGGAGGCAAATCTGGTAAAGAAATCCGTGTGAAACAAGAGGTGCGGACGCATATAGGAAGTTAAATCAGATCGAACCTTGCAGTAGATATGCAAGCAGAAATCACAGGCACGGATCCAGACAGAAGAAAGAGCGGGTTGGAGATCCGGTGGCGCAGGAGAAAAATATGGGGGCGGAGAGGCGGGTTAGAAGGGGACTCGGCGCAGGGGCAGAACCGGAGGAGGGAGGAACGTGTATTGCTTGGCCACGACGGAGATCGGATCGGAGCAGGACTCCACGAGAACCGGAGCACTCACGGAGTCACGGGTCGGATGCGGGCCCAGACGGGTCGGATGCGATTCGGGGAAAAAGGTCGAGTCGAAAAAACACGAGTACTGTAGTAGGAGTACTTTTTTTTAAACTCAATCAAACTTTTTATTTAAACTCCCCCGGGATCTCGTCTGAGACAACGTGCAAAATAAAATCTGAGGGCACATACAGCCACACCTTGCAATATTTATTCATTGCTGCTTCCTTCGCCAGCAAATGGGCGGCTCCATTGGCTTCACGTCTCGCCCATAAAATCCTCCAACTTTCCCTCGATGCCAACAACAACCGCCTGACTTCCTCCACGATTGGTCCTAGCGATGAGAAATCTTTTTCCTTGGCCTGGAGCTTGCACACAATCGCCCTGCATTCCATCTCAATGTGTAAGTTTGCAACATCTAGTTAGTTCGTCAACTGGGCAGCCCTTTTGCATGCCAAGAGTTCAACTCTCTGTGGACCACTCCCCAGTGGGAGGACATGGCATGCACCACCCAAGTATGCTCCATCATGATTTCTGAATATCACTCCTGCACCCCCACTCTCACCGCCTTTTGTTATTGCATCGTCTACGTTGGCTTTTATCCACCCCTCGTCAGGTGGTCTCCACTTCTCTTTCTGAACAGGTCTTTCATGCTTGCTCTTGCGGCCATGGATAGCTTGTCACTCACCCATTAGGTTGAAAACCCTTCGCGCTATTGACTCTGTAGCTTCAATCCGTTATCCATCACGAGCATTATTTCTCGCTAGCCATAGCGCATACGTACCCTGCACCATGACAGCCCGCTTATCATAAGAGGCCTCCGCGAACCAGGTCAACAGCCATCTTGACAACGCACTCTGGGAGCAAACTGACTCCGGTGGGATCGCCACCGGTACCCCCAACTCCGAATGCATTACCTTCCAGAACATCATCGAGTGATAGCATCCCCAAAAATGATGGAAGTTCGTTTCTTCGCGGCCACAAGCAATGCAGAAGACACCCGGCTTGATCTTCCTCCTTAGTAACTCCGAACCCATAGCCAGACCGTTCTGGATCAGTCTCCACATATGAGTTTTGACTTTGCCCGGAGCGACTGTGTCCCATAGGCTCAACCAGGACCTAAGATCCGCCACAGAAGATGAAGATTCCGGCCGTCCAACCCTGGCCTATTTTTGACTCATGCGTAGGTGGTACGCAGACCGGACCAAAAAGACGCCATTTTTTGTATAATTCCATGCTTGGTAGTCCTGCACCCCCGGTCCACCAACAGGACTCTGCATTATTTCATGTGCTTCATCCATGGCGAACATCTCCATCACCTTCCTTCTGTTCCAAGTGCGGCCATCGGCTTCAAGCAGATCCCGGACACGGGTAGTGCCCTCCATGTATCTTTCGGCCCAGTGGCCTCAGACACCCCTTCCTTGGTAACCAATTATCATGGTGGATTTTGACTTGAGATCCGTCCCCAATACGCCAAATCAAGCCATCAAGGAGTAGGTTACGGCCGTGCAAGATACTCCGAAATGTGTATGAGCCTCCATCCGGGCACGTAGCGTTTAAAATTGATCCATCGAGATAGTACCGTGCCTTCAAAACCCTTGCACACAGCGAATCTGGCACTTGTAACAATCGCCACGCTTGTTTGGCGAGCATGGCTTGGTTGAAAGCTTCCGCGTCTCGAAAACCGAGGCCCCCTTCATACTTTCTCAAGCACGTTCTATCCCAGCCAATCCAGTGCACCTTCTTGTGACCATCAGTTTCACCCCACCAGAAGTTTGAAGAAATAGAAGACAGGTTCCCGCACATTTTCTTTGTGAGTTGAAAACAGCTCATGGTAAAAGTTGGTGTTGACTAAAGACCGGACTTGACTAGCACCTCTCTCGCAGTTTTGGATAGGCCTTGACCCTTCCAACCAGAGACTTTTCCTTTTGCACTTTCCTTTACATATTTGAAAGTCCCATCTTTGGACCTTCCAACCACCGTAGGCAGTCCCAAATACCGCTCACTCAATGCCTCCTTTGTTATCTCAAGCACTTCTTTGAGCATATTCTTATCATCATCCGAGGTGCCTTTGCCAAAGAAAATTGTTGATTTCTGGAGGTTGACTTTTTGGCCCGAGGCCGCCTCGTAATCCCGCAGAATGTAACGTAAGGTCTCAAAGTTTTCTCTTGAACCCTCCACAAATACTACGCTATCATCAGCAAAAAGCAGGTGAGTGACAGTTAATCCACCATTCCCAAAGGATACTCCCTTCATGTTCTTCTCACTCTGAGCATGTTTCAGTAGCGCTGAGAATCCCTCTACACAGAATAGAAATAGGTATGGGGAGAGGGGGTCCCCCTGCCGGAGCCCTCTAGTGGGAGTGAACTTCTTAGAAAGACCACCGTTCAGCTTCACCGAGAACGTCGCCGATTTCAGACACCTCATGACCATCTCTGTCCAATGATCAGAGAAGCCAAATTTCAGCATCATATTTTCTAAAAAAAATCCCACTCAACTCGGTCGTAGGCCTTCATCATATCCAGCTTGACCGCGCACATAGGCTTCCTCCTCTTCCTAATAGCATGCATGCATTCATACGCCACCAGAACATTATCCGTAATTAGCCTCCCTGGTACGAATGCACTTTGCTCCTCCGAGATCATAAACGGAAGAACCACCTTTAGGCGATTGGCCAGTGCCTTTGCCACAATCTTATAAAGAACGTTGCATAGACTGATGGGCCGGAACTGCGCCAGTAGCTCCGGCGACTTAACTTTTGGAATCATCACAATCACCGTGTCGTTAAAACCATTTGGAGTTGTTGTCCCATCTAGGAACTCACGGACTGCAGCACACACATCTTCCTTAACCAGCGCCCAGTGGCGTTGGTAGAACATGGCCGGGAGGCCGTCCAGGCCCGGCGCTTTGGTCGGTCCCATTTGGAAAAGGGCCTGCTCAATCTCCTCATCAAAAAAAGGCGCCCCAAGTTTTGTGTTCATCTCTCCAGTCATCGCAGCTTCAATGTGTTGTAGAACCCTCTCCCCATTCGTTGCTCCCTCCGCTGCGAAGAGATGGGCATAAAACTGGGCAGCCATCTTCCTCATTCCCTCATCATCCGTGCATTTTGAACCGTCTTCTCTCCTCAAAGCCTTAACTGTGTTTTTTCGCTTGCGGTGTGAAGCACGATTTTGGAAGTACTTCGTATTCTGGTCTCCCTCCGTTAACCAGTCTACCCTTGATCGCTGCTTGTAGTACACCTCCTCCCTCTCATAGAGCTCATGCAGCTGGTCCTCGAGATCCTTAATCTCCTGTCCATACCCTGTTCGGGCGGCCCTCTCCTTTGCGTCCACCAGCTGAGTTTTGAGGTGCGAGATTTGCCTTTTTAAAGATCCAAAAACCCTTTGACTCCACCGTTGCATGGCCATGGACGTCGATCTCAAGCTGTTATACGCACCTGCTAGTCGCCCCTCCCGCTGATTGGTTGCATGTGCCTCCCCCCATGCAGTGGTCACCATGGCGTCGTATTCCTCATGCCTCGTCCACATCGCCTCATAAACAAAAGGTCTCTGTCCCCGCGTTCGACATTCCCCCGCCATCATCGAAGCTTTAATAAATAATGCTTGGTGGTCAGATTCTTATGTCATCACATGTTGCACTTCGATCTCCGGGAACAGCTGCACAAAATCGCTATTACACGTCGCCCGGTCGAGCCTCACCTGAATATTATCACCATCCTCTCTCTTGTTGTCCCATGTGAACGGGTATCCCGAGAAGCCAAGATCCGCTAGTCCACAATCATTCAGGCAATCACCAAAAAGCTCCATCTGTCTCCTACTCCTCGGGTTACCACCTTGTTGCTCATCTTGTCTCAGGGCTTCATTAAAATCGCCCACACACAGCCAAGGGAGGTTGTCTTGTGCACGCAGATACCGTAACACCTCCCATGTCTTCATTCACTTGTCAACGCAGGGCTCTCCATAGATTCTAGTGAACCTAAAGGAGACTCCTTCAGTAATGATTGCAGCATCAATGTAATACTGGCACCACGGCCTCACTGTATCTTCAACATGATGCCTCCACCATAGTGCCAACCCTCCACTCTTGACTTCACAATCCACCGCAACGCCTTTATTGAAACCTAAGCTCCACTTCAGTCTGTCCACCGCCCCCGCCCTCTTCTTAGTTTCTGATAAAAAACCACCGCTGGGTTGTATGACCTAATCAGGTCCCGAAGTTCGCCGACTGCCGAGTCCAACCCCAATCCCTAGCAGTTCCAGGCCATAATGATCATTGCTCCCGGTGGCCCTGCACCCTGGAAGGGTCCGCCGATAAATTAACAGGGTCTTCGATGCGATCAAAAATGGTGGAAGTTTTTTGTTTAGTGTCTTTGATAAAGGACTCATCTCCATCCTGCTTCTCCCCTTCTCCCTTGGGCACCCACACCTGTCTCAGCCTCCTTTTCCTTGAGTTAGGAGTACCATGAGGGCTACCCTCCCTCCTTCTTCTCTCCTCATGGTCCTGCCTAGGTTTTCGGACATAGTATCCTCTCCTCCTCTCCGTAGGGTAGGGTTGGTGATAACCAGATTTCCCCTCACCGCCTCTGCTACTAGAGCCTCCTTCCCTACGCCTTCTCAATTCATATTGCTCACGCTCATACTCCCTCTGTCTTTGATGTGC